AAGTTACGCCATTCTGAAAGTCGCCATTTACATGGCGCGTATTTCATTAGATTCGCGTAAAGCGTAAACACGATTTTTGTAAAGCTAACCAATAACAAATCAGGCCTTCTATTATATAATACAGCAGAAATACTAAGTGGCTTCTCGATTGGTTATTATTATTTACGCGTATTGTTAAATACGCGTCATGGAAATTGGATACTTTGCATGTAAGAATGTGTGAAAGCGTAATATATGTCGTATGCACGGTGAGGTTAAAGTTGTAGTAAATAAGACCGGTCTTGTTAACTACTGACAATATCGGATATACTATCGGATAAAAAGTATAAAGTAAATACATTATATACATTATATATATTAATTAGCTTTTGAAGTTTGGAATTAATACATCTATTTTTTTTTTATCTATTAAAAAGCGTGAAGGTAAGGAAGATTATTTACTACTTTGTCACATGTACTTAATTCCTCTAAAAGAGAATAAATTTTTTATTTTTTAAAGTTTTATTAGGCTGTAGGTATATTTAATAAAAGACTTGTTTTCCGAAATGTTAATAATAGAAATATTTTATTGTACATCAATATAATAAAAAACTTAAATTTAAAAACATTTACTTTTTGCAGGCGGCTCGTAATCGTCAAAAAAGATTTGCTCCGATTCTACAAAGAAATTAAAATGTCATTTTTGCTGTAAAAATTATAAAAACTCCGACAAATGAAAATAAATAAACAAATTATTATTTATTTCTGCTTGTAAAATTTAATAAATAAAAAAAGGCCAATACGAGACGTAAACAGAGTCTGTGTTTAAATGATTTATTCTATGTTTAACGTTTTAAAATCTTTATCGTTTTGAAAACGTTGTTGACATTGTTTGACGTTAAACATAGAACAAAATATTTAAACACGGATACTTTGTTTACGGCTCGTATTGGCTCTTTTTATTTAATAAATAAACAAACGTTTCAATTTTGTAGTTTGTGTTCGTGTAGGTACTCTATTTTCAGTTGATGAAAAATATTTTGTGGATGTCGGGGTTTGTGAAAAAACGTCAGAATCGAGCGACTGTAGAGAAATATTTGTAGGTGTCGGCGTCCGAGAAGGAACACATAAGGAAGTCTGTGGAGAATTGTTGCTGGCTGAAATCTGTGTGTGAAGCGCTTTCGAAGGTCCAGCTATAGCATTACTTTTGTGTTGCTCATTTTCTGTGTCAAATGAAGTGACTACTTCATTCTTAGCACTGGCATCTGATAATGAACTTACTATCCTAAAATTTATTAATGAATGGATCACACATGTGACATACTCTGTTCAATTTCTTACCAAACAATAAAAGTGATGTACATGTGAATGTTAAAGAATAAGAACTTACTGTCGTGTTTGCAATGATTCGTTCAGGAATCTCATAAGCTCATAATATTGAAACCTCGAGTTATTATTGGTTTTAGTAGCAGTAGCTGCCGATCCACTGGGTATGTATGCTCGAATCTTCTTGCGAGCTTTTATATAATTATCTCACAGATACTTCTATCGAGCTTTAGCTTTCTCTGGACTGAGAAATCCTTGATAAATAATATACTTTGATTTTAAAACTTATTTATTATATGATAAGAAAAATAAAAGAAAAGTCCTTTTAGATAGTAAAATGTACCTTGTAATATATTCGAAACTTTCATCTATAATGCATTTTTGCGCAACATAGTTCTCTCTGAAGCAGGTATACAAGAATCATACAGCCCACGTTTGCTTCTAACTGCTTCGATTAATAGTTCATCCAAATTTTCTTTTCTGTCAACCATTAGATTTTTTTTAACTGTTAAGTATTATATACATAAGTACTTCATTTATTTAATGGAACGAAGCGAACTTAAAAAGTCACATATGTATTGTCACGACATGATTTTCGTCAATTCTAATGTGGTCTACTTCTTCAATATAATGTTTAAAGCAGTCATGATCAACAAAGTTTGAAACTAAAAAGCCATCCGCAGTATNCACATTTATGCTGTATTAAAAAAAAAAAAATGAAAGTAAAAATGTATAAGCTGCAGCAGAGTGCTAAAACTAATCCAGACATGCAAATAACAGATAATACTAATTATTAGGCATAACCTTAAAATTATCTTGTACTGTGCAAGCAATGTACCGAATTATGTTCAAGTATCAAATATATTATTTTTAGAAACTTTATATAGAATGTTTTAGAACTTGTTACCTTACCCGAATTTGATCCATTTTTTCTAATTTTCGTGAGTCAAATTACATTACAATACTTGGTGATCGCACGTACACACACATCACTAATACATATGCATTACCGATTTACGTGAAAAATTGGATTTGGCGTATCGGCAAAAGCGTAAAATGCGTTAAATAACTAAGCGGATATGCATATAGTAGATGAAACGATTTGATTGGCTGACGGAATTTGGCGCAAGTTACGCTTACGCAAGTTACGCCGCATGTAAAGGCAGCCTTAGGGTTGCCACTTACTCTCACCATCTGCTTTTCACCAATCAACGTTCGGTGTCAAAGCGCCGGTGTCTGCATGAGGATCCAGTCTAACCAATTTCTGCGGACCAATAGCAAGCGCTGGCTTCACTCCCGAAATCACGGTTGCCCAAGTTCCGAGTGGTGCACATGTTTTACTTCGATGAAAGTGTTTTTTCTGTAAAGAATTAATTTATAGTGCTGCAAAATGGGTAAAGCGAAGAAGACCAAAGTATCGAAAGGTGAGACGAAAATAGGTTTGGCAGAACAAATAGAATCCGATAAGACAGTGAAACCCAAGAACAGACAGAAGATCCGGTTTCGAGCCGACGAGGAAGAGGTTAGTTCTCGTATCTATTTTCGTTCACTTGTGTTATTTTGTTCTCGGAGTTAAATCAGAATTTCATGAGACACAAAAAGAGAATTATTTTACTTTATTCTCTCATTAGTTTACACGGCCGTTTTTCTTTTGTAGTACGTGGCGCCTGGTCTAACGAAGAAGATTTTGACACAAGCCAGACGACAGCAGCAAGAGATCGAGGAGGAAATCGGTCTCAGTATTCCAAAAGGCGTCAAGAAACCGACGCTTAAACTAGGCGCCGATCTGAGCGACGAGGAAGATCAACTCAGCAGCGATGACGAACCGGTGGAGAGTGTACACTACTACGAGGACGTTCAGATCAACGAGGAGGACGAGCGAGCATTGGAGATGTTCATGTCTAGAAATCCCGTGCCCACGAGAACGCTGGCCGACATAATAATGAAGAAATTGACAGAGAACGAGACGGAGATGGACACGCAATATTCGGACATCAGCAATTTTCAAGTGAAAGATCTGGATCCGCGAGTGAAGGCAATGTACGAGGGTGTCAGAGACATTTTGGCGAAGTATCGCAGCGGTAAAATGCCGAAAGCGTTCAAAATCGTTCCAACTCTGAAAAATTGGGAACACATACTTTACATCACGGAACCGCGAAACTGGTCCGCCGCCGCGATGTATCAGGCCACAAGAATATTCGCCTCGAATCTGAAGGAGAACATGGCTCAGAAGTTCTACAATCTTGTCCTGTTGCCACGCATCAGAGACGATCTGGCGGAATACAAACGGCTAAACTTTCATCTGTATCAAGCGCTGAGAAAGGCGCTGTTCAAACCAGCAGGTTTCATGAAGGGAATTTTGCTGCCGCTTCTGGAATCCGGCACGTGTTCGCTCAGAGAAGCCGTCATTATTGGATCCGTAATCGCAAAGAACTCCATACCGATGCTGCACTCGTCGGCTGCTATACTGAAGATCGCGGAGATGGAGTACACGGGAGCGAACAGCATCTTTCTCAGGATATTTCTGGATAAGAAATACGCGCTTCCCTACCGAGTAGTCGACGGAGTGGTGTTTCATTTTCTCAGGTAAGATGAAGTCACGATAATACGTAAGAGAGAGAGAGAGAGAGAGAGAAAAAAAATAGAAGTATATTGCAATGCTGTTGTAATAAACGTTTCGTCAGGTTCGAAAGAGACAAGAGAGAGTTACCGGTACTGTGGCATCAGGCTCTTCTGACTTTTGTGCAGCGATACAAGAGCGACATCAGTTCCGAACAGAAGGACGCTCTGCTGGAACTGCTGAAGAAACAATCCCATCACACGATCACTCCCGAGATTAGAAGAGAATTGCAACACGCTAAGTGTAGAGACATAGAGATGCCGGTATATTTGTAAATAATACAATAAAAAAAGAAAAAAAAAAGATTTTCTTGTTAAAGAAAAATACAAAACTTGGGGATGTGATAACGCGTCGAGAGAAATTACTCAGAAACTTGTGGTGTAAAAATAGATACATACTATATTTGGTTTTATCATGTTCTCGAACTGGAGATTTCTCTCACAAGTTATGATCACATATCTCTGTTTTGTTTTGTTTTTACAACAATATGGTGCGTCGCGCGACAATACACGCATTTATATACACGTTACATTCGCATCTGACAAGTCGTAAGAGTGTTTTTTTTTTTTTTAAATAACACGTAATATACTTACACGTACAAATAGGAATGAAAACACTGCTCGCACGCAGTTTTATAAACTTACTTATTTGCACATACTATAGTATTAAATAATTAATAAGTAATAGTATTAAAATATTTAAAAATTAATAAATTTACGATGCTATAGTATTAAAACAATAAATACACAGCGCAACTTGAGGAAAGTAACGAGCAGTCTGCGATTTGCGAACTATTCGTCCAACAATTGTGTGCAAATTGTTATATGTACATATATATGTCAGTTTTATATTTCTATGTTGGTTTTTAAATCTAGAGTCTTTAAATCTCTCTGCTTTATGCTCGCGTATTCCCCGCTTAGGCCGATGCGCGGGGAATCTCCCAAAGGAATTGTCTTCGTCATTCCTTGCTCGGACAAGTAAACGTTCGTCTTGATTAGAGCTTCGGTTGTTGTGCTCGTGGTTGTCTGTTTCTCGATCTCCTTTTCCACCTTGGACGTCTTCGAATTGTCCTTCGAACAGATCTCCGCGTCGTTAACGTTCTTCGCCAAAGATTCGAACGTCTCCGGCGGACGATCGATTCTCGTGTCGTTCGCTAAGTCCGCGTCTCGTTTCTCGCGCTCGTTTTTCTCCAGGATATCTCTGCGTATAGCGAGAATCATCGGTTCGCTCTTGTTCGACGACGATTGTTCGATCGCGGTCTTGTCCGCTTTCGATTGGTTTGTCATCTTCAGCGCGATCGGCACCGAGTATCGGTCGTCGTGTTCTTTATCCGACGCTCCAACAACCTTGTTTACGATCTCCTCTTTCTTGTCGGTCTCTTTAGCGAGTTCTTCCTCTGCCACGGATCGGCGCAGGGCTCCCTTCGACAGCACGTTCAAGATCGGACCTTTCATGTTTACCGAATTATTGAATTCGACTTGTTCTATCTTCTCCTCGTCTCGTTTCTCGTTTCGCAACGGCGCCACCTGTTCGAACGCTCCGCGATCAGTGATTTTCTCCATGACGGGTGATTTAGCCGGCGCGTCTTTCGAGATTTTTCGCGATCCCTCGATATTCGCATCGTGAGACATCTTTCGAAGCAAATTCAAGTTCTTTTCGCTGTTTTCAGCCGCAATGTTCATTTCGTGGTTCTCGTCTCGCGACTGTTGCTTTCCACTTGACTCCGCGTTGTTAGCGATATCTTGTTCCTTCTCTTCCAAAAGTGCTTTCTTACCCTTTTCGATGTTGTCCTCGCTATTTGCTACCGTTTTCTTGCCATTTTCTCTCGGACTGTCCTTGCTCTTCGTCAAAACATCATCCGCGTTAATCCGCACCTTCTTCTCGTCCTTCGCCATTCTCTGCTTTTCCCTCTCGAGTTCTTGCTTCTGCTCCTTGATGTCGTTCAGAATCTTCTTTTGCTCCTGCATCATCTGACGTTGCTCCAACTTGTGCTTCTCCAGCGTCTTCCGCAGCTGCTCGTGCCGTTCCGCCGCTCTCGCGTTAGCGACGTCCCCGTCCGCCGCTAATTCCGATTCCTCCTTTTTTATCGCGTCCAGATCGATGAGAATGTCGTTTTTCTGCAGGTCCATCGATCGCTCCTTTTCCTCGATTATCTTTATCTCTTCCGCTTTTAACGTGACGGGCTCGTCGATTTTGGCAACTTCGGTGCTAACGGCGACTTGCGGATTTAAATTGACGACGTTTAACGTTTTAATCGTTTCAACCATTTCCTTCACTTCCGGCACAAGAGTGCCCGCTGTGATCTTGTCAGATTTATCGACGTTCAACGGCTTCTCGGTGACGATCACACGTTCGACCGGTATCGGCGGTTCCTGTCGAACGTCTTTCTCGAGAACATTTATCTCCGGTAACTTGTTGCCCTTGTCTGCAATAAGATACGGATAATTTGACTCAAGTGACTATGAAAAATCAAAGAAAAATGCACTCACGTACTTACCCTTATTAGCTCTGTGAACAAAGTCCAAGCTATCGGGAACATCGGGAATAATGTGCAAGTTCTCTTTAATTACATTAAGCGGCAAATTGTTAACCTGACCGAGCGGTTTGCTGGTTATCGTCAGTTTCGCACTCGTCGATTCCTCCATAGCGTACAAATTGGCGTAAGTGCCGAGAACCATGATCCAAACGCCGACGAATAAAATGCCCTGAAAATTGAATTGAAAATCATTACCACAGAAAAGTGAAAAACAATCATTTGCACACAGTCGTTCGTAGAAATTCGCTCCACACCTGCGCTATTAATCGTTCGTTAGTGTTTTTGGTGCTTATAGATATGAAGAACACTGCCGGGAATATCAAACAAATCATCACACCAATCGTCGATCCCACGATACCGAGAACAAACTCTATGTTCGGCACCAGAATGCCAATGACGAGGGAGATGCCGACTATCGCGATGGTGAGGCATCGAAATCTGGATTCCGGCAAGTAATTGACGGACGGCTCGTGAGTGTGCATCTGCAAATTTAATAAAAACAAAAATGTGACAAACAATCCGCTCGTGCTTTCCTACGTTTCCTATTTTTTGTATACGTACCCTGCGAAACAAAAGGGAATTCAAGCTCGCGCGACACGGAAAAATGACTAGAGGAAAACTGAACGCGACCGAAAACACAAATCCCAGCTTGATCAAATCCGACGTTATACTAGGATCGAAACTTAGCAAAATGTTTCCTGCGTGAGAAAATAATAGTGACATGATAATAATATTAGGATTGTGTCAATCATTGTACTAAACATTTAAAAACAGATAATTGTTGAATTACCTGTAAACGACTGGGTGCAAAATGCTATGTAACCGAACAAGCCAACGCACACGTATACGAGAGTACACATGTTCAACGCTCCGCGCACAACTTCGTTCATCTTCTCTAAAGATACATTCGGAATGGTTTCGTATATCTCAAACAGTTGTGTTTGACAGAAGAGCGCCATCGAAAATATCGGCAGGCACTGGAGAATACCATCCGGTCTCCAGTAGTTAACATCGTCAAACCAATCTCCCGCGAAAATATGGAAAGTTGACTCGCTCATTATCTGTTCATTAATTGCAAAAGAGAAATACCTTGCTTAGTTAAAGTTTATTAGCTTAAGAGATGTGTGAAACTTTCGCTTCGTGCAAATTGTAAATATTTTACACGTTTAAATGATTTGTTACCTTTAGTACAAGGCAGATATAAAAAACGATGGTGGCGGTGCAAATGCTGGCGAGACTGTCGATATTTCGAAGCAGTCCCAGTGGCAATACCAAGAAGACTCCGGTAACGACGAGCAAGCTGGTGCGAACGTTGGCTGGAGTCTTGCTTATCATCTTGCCAATTATCTGTGGTCCCAGATCGCCGACGACAACAAAGTACGCGATGCACGTGCCCAGCATAAAACCGATGATAAAAAGTTCCGCCAGAAACTTACCCATGTGTCCAAATGCATGGAATGCGAGTAGTTCGAAATTGCGTCTCCTAGATATTACGGCTGACTTGATGAGAAAGTGACAAGCCAACCTGGACAAGACGCTGCACAGAAGCAACAGCAATACAGCCAGCACGATACCGCATTGCTTGAAGCAAAAGGGCATAGCGAGAACGCTTACACCTATGATGCTGTTGGCGAGTGTCATCACGTGCGACATGTGAGGAATCATTTTGGAAATTTTCAATTTTGTATTTTTGTACAAACGTGTGCGCTTCTTTTCACATCTCTTTAGATTTCTGCAATTTCAAAATCACCTGTTATTAAAAATCAGTTTTTTTACTATAAACTGTTGATTCTTCTTGAAATCAAAACAAAAATGTTTTTTAACAAGAGGCGTAAATAAAGATAAATGTTTACTGTTTTTCACTACGGATTTCAATGACTTAATGCTCATTTGATACGTTTTTGCGCTAAACATAAGGTTCGGAGATCCAAAACTGTTACGCGTCTATGTAAAAACAAAAATTAGTAAATGACAAAAATGCTCTTAGAGGTTGGGAAATCGGTCACGTTTTACATTTCGACGACATGTCAATTTGCGCGTGGCGACAGTTGGCGAACTTGTGTTCGCGCGCGCACACAAGCTTTAAGCTAGTATTACATTTGTCGTACGACAAAGATTTTAAATATATTGATTGGCTATCAAATAGAGTTCTTTATAAAACTCTATCTGATAACCAATCAACATAACTTAAAGTCTTTATCGTACGACAAATGTAATATTAGGCTATTGCTAACTCTCACGATTTGGTCCAATCACGGGTCATATCTTCGATTGGTTACTACTGCGCGGTGTCACTATATTTCAACATGCTCGAATCTAAAGGGTCGTCTACAATGGAGAGTTTTAGACCGTAACAGTAAAAAACTGACAAATCACAATCGATTATTCTTCTGTACTTTGCCTGTGATTGGTCAATTTTTACTGTTTTTTACTGTTACGGCCTACAACTCTCCATTGTAGACGGCTCTTAACTTTTACCGCTGTTTGGCGGGCGGTAAATAGTGTCGTGTTTTGTTTGGTGTGTGCATACGAGTGTGACAACGTGCTGTTTAAAATACTGTATTGTTTAGTAGTAATATTTGTATGCATAATAATGGAAGTGGATGGCGAGTCGACACCTGTTCAAGATAATAATATGTGAGTGTTCACGAATATAAAATATTCCTTTTGTTATGAAATAAGAAAATATAATAGTCCACATTAAGCTGCACATTATAATTTAAATGTTTCTTATTGCAGAATATCTGTAACAGATTCAGTATGGAAATTTATCAACAATCCTATAATATCAATTTTTTCTGACTTAGAAAATTCTGCAACAGAACAAATGCTTTGTTCACTCTTAGAATCTTTGTTGAAAAGATCTTCTACTTTGACTAGTGTAATAATCCCACCGTTCAATAATGGTCCAGCAGATGAGACTCTACAACAACAATATGCAGGTGATATTTCTCTATATATCAATGTGAAATGTGTGATATTTATTTTAAATATTTTCTATTTCAAGAATAAGAAAGATTGGATATGAGGTGGCAGATAGATAATTGTAATATACCAGAATGTAAGATTTAAAGTTAAAAATTTATTGTTTTGGCATTTTAACAAATATATAAGTTTAAAACTTTTCCTAATCTTTCTTATTTTTAGGTTATTATTTAATAATGTATATAATATAGAGTTTATATATTTTATAATATATATTATCATTGTGTTTCTTCTGTGTGACTAGCATTTACAACATGGCTATTTGGCACAATGTTTTATTTAATATGTACACCACCAAGCAACATGGTGTTATCAAATAGCATTGAAGTACAAGCTTGTATGCTCAGAATACTCTCAAGGCATCATATATCAATGTTTGAGACAATTAGTTCAGAGTATTTAAATATACTTGATGGTATGTAACAATAAACTTTGAAATAGTAGATTCTGTTTTTACAAAACCAAATTTTTTTTAAACAGAGACATTGGAGTTTTATGTAAATACTGCAAAAACGGAAGAAATGACCATCTCAAAGTTTTACACAGAGAAGGATATTATACCAAATTTGGACTTGACACCATTTTCTGCAAAAATCAAAGCATCAAATGCATCTTTAGTACAAATATCCTTGTTAAAAGTATTTATTTTTTATTTTGAAATAAAGTTTACACAGCACATATATTATTTTATTTTTAATATAATAATATTTTACTGTGCATATTGACAGATGATTACAAAAGCTGGTGTTCTAGCTTGGAATGAAGAAAAATTATGGAATCAAACAATAGCAACAATTGTTAAGTCTTCTCCAGATGTAAAGATTGAAGCATTGCAACTATGTACAAAAATAATAGAAGACAATAGTATTAATGATCGTGTATGTGCTTAAAAGTTAAAAGTGAAACTTATATATTAAGTACACAAATTTATAGTTTTTGTAAAGAACTAATATAATATGTATTTTATAGGAATTTATGGTCATAATTACACACAGTCTAGAAATAGTAAAGAGTCTTCCGAGCTGGATTAATTCAAATCAGTTATCACCATGTTTGTTGTCTCAGTTTGCAGAAACATTGACGCGTTTAATACAATTATTGCCCATTTCGCATAATGTTGCAGAATTATGTTTTCAAGTGATTGAACTTGTAGCTTCTGAATTCAGTAGTGAGTATTTCTTCTTGACTTTGCACTGTTTTTTTTTAACATTTTGCTCAAGTTGTTACTTTTTTCAGCATATCATGCAATATTTGAGACAATACACAAACTAATTAAAGCAACATGTTATAAAATTGGACAATACTTAATTAAAGAACCAAGATCCTGTAATGTTTCAGAAGCGAAAAAGTTATTGGCTTATTTCGATCATTATCCAGTTTGTATCACTAAAATCGTATTTTATAAGTTGTACTTCTTATGTGTGTGTAGTAAAAGTAACTTGTTGTTTATTTTAGGCCATTATTGACATTTTCATGCAATTTGTTTTTATCGATATCAGACGAATTGTTTTATCGGAAGCAACTGTTCTTGCAACAAAAATTAGCGAGCCATGGAAATTACTAAGAAAAAAATTGATGAGTCTCATGCAAATTGAACAATTTACAGAAGTATTACATATTCTTAAAGCGTCATCCTTACTGCAATCGTGGCTAAAAAAACAGAATATACAAGTAAATCTGTACGAAAATGACTTGAACATTATATTGAGACTTTTTATGCAAAAGTTGAGTTCTGACGAATGTGGTGAAACACGAAAGATCATTTTTCATAATTTAACGCATTTAATTGTTCACAATGAGTCGAATAAAGTGTTATTACAATCGATATTAGCTTTGCCATTTACTCAAGATTTCAAAGGCTCTATGGACATCAATGAGAAAATGGTGCAAAATGCAAAATCTCTCGATGTCGAAACAATGTCGAAGTGTCTTGAAGCTGTATGTGTTTATGGCACTGGAAAAGAGATATTGAAGTTATTACGTGCATGTATATTAAATAACGAAACACAAATAGCTGTTGCGGCAGTGTCGTAAGTATTTTTTCATACTCTGTGTGACAATGTTTTTAAGGAACATTGTGACTGACTTATCGCAAAGTGATATTGTAATTCAGGAACAGTGTATTGTTACTGAACGATGTGGGCATAAAGATGGAAGATGTTAATCACTATGTTCTAAGTACTGCCTTATCTTCGACAAAACTAGAAGTACACGAAGCTCTTGCTAATGTTTTGAGTCAAATGGCTTGTGTATTAGCAGGAACAGGAAGAATTATCAGGTATGGTGATAGTATATTTATACTTGTCTATATATGACTTTTTTATTTTATTTAATTGTGTATCGACAGAGCCTAGATCAATTCGTCAAATTAACATTACTTGTCGTTACGTATGTGTAAAAGAATAAATTAATATATCTACTCTGGTTTTTTAGCGAGTCGTCAAATGAGAGAAAATGGACAATACATTGTGATTATTGTACAGAGAATATAATAGAAAATGATGAATCTAATGTTCACTGTCTTCCAAGTATCTACGATCACATCTTCAGTACATATTTCACATTACTATCATCGTCTAATGTTTCTATACGTTTGAACATGTCTAAAAATATTCTTTCTCTTTCGAATCATATAAAATCATTTAACTCAAATGAGGTAATGAAGAAATGGCTTTCTTATATATACGACAACAATGTTGAGATACGGTTGAATATTGCATCAGCAATTGGACGTTTGTTGAGTAATAAAATATCTATGGTGAAATACGACAATAAAAGTTTGCTAGATACCATACCGGACGATTTGGACGAATATGTTGATTTGGTAATTGATGTTATAGCCAATATACTCATGAATGCATTGGACAATTCCAATCATTCTTTACATGACACATTACTTGTCACCGCGAAGAATTTTATATGGTAAGAGAGTGAGAAAATTTATTTAACAATAAAATTTATAATTAAATTATAAATATGATTTCTTAATGGATATAATAAAATTGTAGTGTACCGTTATATTTGTCAGAAAGGAGAATTCTGAACGTATTTTTAATTACAATATTACATCCAAATTCATCACCAGCGGCAGTAGCGTCTGCAACAGTCGCGTACCAGGATGTAGCTGACTTTTTAAATATTTCTCCAAAGGCTTTGTATATTCGATATCGAAAGGATTTTTTAAAAGTATTAATATACATGTGCACATAATTATATATATATATATATATAGTTACATAATTTTCATTAGTAATTTATCTTGTTACAGCTTATAATGGAACGCGCGGTTTACAATTATATAGAAGTCTCATATAACATAGCAACTACGGTGCATCGAGTTGCCAAATGTATAGGCTACGAAGGATCACGTCAATTATTACGCAAAGACGGTCATTACGCAATTTGTTTTCTGATTGCCTTTATCGTTGAAGTACCAGAAGCAAATGTGCTTCTGTACGATATAGCCGAATTAATAAGCATGGACGTAAATCAAATGCTCGAAGAATATTTTCCTGTACGTAAAATTTGTTTGTTTTTTGTTACTGATTTGCTTTTAATTTTTTAATACATATTCTTTTCTTTTTGTTCTAGTACATTTGCAGTTATGCATTCTTAGAATTATCTCCATCAAATAGTACGGAATGTTTGAAGCTCACAACGAGAATGACAAAAAGTAGTCTTGCACTTCTTACAAAGCAGTCATTTATGGTAAAAAGTTTACAGGCTTACATGTTATTAAATATATTTTTATCAAAATTTTATCATGTAATGTGAAGACACACAAAATCATTGCGTATAAGCATTTCGCTTACTGTACATACATGTAAATATAGACACATACATGCCATCTTTACAGGGAATTTTTGAAGAACTTATGCTACGTTTTTATGAATCTCCCACAAAAATAACAAGTTTTTTGGAAATTATTTCGGAATATGATAGCAATCAGAGAGGAAGATTTGATAGACAGGAGCACATTGTGAGTATTTGTTTTTACAGTATAACATGTAATAATTAGCCAACATAATTTAACAATATTTTCTTAATTTTATGCGTTACATTTTACACAGGCGTCCTACTTGAATCTAAGATTACACGGAATACTTGTGAACTTCGACATAAAACTCGGCCCGAAATCGGATGAACATACACAACAATCCGCGCTTGCTTCATTGACTGTTTTAATTCGTTATATGGGTGCTTCTTACATAACTCCACTTAGATACAAAATTTTAGCTATGTTACGAACCGCGCTTGGATTCAAAAGACCTGGTTTTCCACGTTTAGTCTGCGACGCGTGGGACGCGTTTATTCACAAGTACGTTGAAATTAATTTGTTAAGCTGATGTACTAAGTGTAGTACGTGGAAAATAGTGGAATTGTATATTTTAAAATATATAATATCCCTAAGATTCTTCTACAATCGGTTTTCAGTATAGCAATTGAGGATCTGGGATCACTGTTCCCAACAATATGCGTATCACTGATACCGTTGCAGAATATGTTTCCAAAAAAAGTCAACAGCATGTTGGAATTTCTAATTGTGCAAAACAGTGGAGAGCACATTTCGGAGTTATTTTTCATTGACGATATCAAAGTTCCTGACCACATATCTGCTATAGTCAAGGCGCACATCTTGCAAGCCAAGTAATTTATACAATCCACATTTAATATCAATCTTTTCGCGCGAATACATCATTAGAGTCTTTTTTTCAATATTTAGACCGGAAGGATTCAATGCCAACTTGAAGTTATGGTTAAAGCGAATCACTCACGAAACCGGCGAGGTGCGAATCAGGGCTCTGAAACATTTGCAAACATTTCTAGAAAAACATCGTAGTGAACTTAATAGAATGATACTAAGTGAAACTGATGTCCATCCGCTAATCGTTGAAGTATGTTTGTATTGTTACTAATAACATTTTCGACCGGAGCGATTAAATTCAATCCGGTCGACAATGCTATTACATAATTCTATACATATCCCAAGTGTATACATAGTTATGTTGTTGTTAATACATATTTATATATTTGCTTTAAAGTTGCTAGACACTCTGCTAATTGGGTGTCAAGATAAAGATGAGTCTATTCGCTTATGTTACGGAGAATGTCTCGGGGAATTGGGAGCGATCGAACCGAGTCTTCTTCCGCGAAGAATCATTTCTAGGGGTAACGTTTTAATATTTTGCATTTTTATGCGCCCCCACTGCAGTTCTCAATATTTTTTTCTCTCTCTCGTTTTCGAAATTATTTGAAAATTTGTGTTTGCCATTACAGATGACAGCAAATTTATATCAGACATGAATGAGGAGTTCGCATGTGCTTTACTTTCCGAACACGTACGGGCTTTTCAAATGCAAAAAGATAGTCAAAGTATGGATTGCTTCTCACTTGCTATACAGGTATATACGATTTTGTGTGGAGAGTAACGCGCGATAAATGTGCGATTTTATAATAAATTTGCAAACATATCGAATGTGATCTCATTTGAATGACACTTTCGACAATTTTAGGAAATATTAAGGGCGTACGAAATCTCGCCACAAGGTCGAAATAACGTATTGTGGAATAATTTGCCACTCACAACGCAACAAATTATTACGCCTTTCTTAACGTCACATTACAAGATAGCAGCTGTTTGTGATGATAATGAATTTCCGCATCCTGTTTACGGGTATGTTTTTATAAATGATAAATTTGACTTAACAATTATTTGTTCATTTATTCGCGTTATTACACTTTGTATCGATTATTTTTTTCACACAAGTGAATTTGTACAGTTCTGAAGCAGGTTCTTCAGTTGAAAGCTGGGCTTACAATTGGCTGTGCAGTATGTCTAGTGCTGTATATGACATAACACTTAGTAATGTATTGCAAGCGTGCAAATTTGCATTTAAACGGGACATAAAAACATTAATATTTTGTCTGCCGTATATCGTGTGTAAGTTCAATCGACGTAAACAATAATTATGTTTTACACTTATATGTATGTGCTATATACTTTGTTTTTTATTGTGACCCAGCATATATAATTGCGAATAATAGAGAAGAAGAGCATATTAAACTTAGAGAGGAAATGTTAGCTGTAATTAACGTTAGAGAGAAGCCTGTATTGGATTCTGAACTTTTGCGCCATCAACCTCTCCGGTACGGACAGAGTGTAAAGGCCGATGACAATCGTATCTCGGAAGAAACTAGGCGCACGCGTTGCTCACGGGTGAGCGACAAAGTCTTTTTCTGACATTTTTACGCGCATTTTAAAACTATATTGTTGACAATATTTTTGCAAACAGGTTGTTTTCTGTATATTGGATCATTTGCAAAGATGGCTCAGAGAACAAAGATTATTCCAAGATGAAAAATATAGAGCAATAAAAAGTACGTGATTAGAGTAAGAAATATCTGCTCTATTATGCACTTTAATATTTCCCTATATGGAGTAACTGTACTGCGTTATTTTATTATTTTCAGAATTTTGTGCAACGTTGGACAGTCTAATTGTGTCGCAAGGGTGTTACTATACTCGGGAATATCATCGGGCGTTGATGTATTTAGAACACCATATGGCGTCTAGTAACAAAGGATTGTCCGAGTCGACAGAAAGTGGCTTACTTGCTGTATGTTACATTCTTTTACGTGATATGTGATTTTTTTCTCTCTCAAAAACAGGTGATACTTTTGTTACAGAAAATTTACGCGCAACTTGATGAGCCTGATGGAGTATCCGGCATCTTGGTGACTCAAGATCAGTCTCCCACCCTGCAACAACTGGTTTTGGCTCATGAAGTAAATGGCCAGCTTCAGGTACAAAATTTATTTTATTTAGTTTTTTTAATATCACTTTATTTATTTTGTATATACTAATATACCTGACTGTCAACTTTAGGATGCAGCTACGTGTTACGAAAGACTCGCACAGAAAAAAGACTCGAAACATACATACCTGCAAGGTATGATTCAGTGCTATCTTGGCCTAGATCAACCATTCACTGCTATGCACATTACCCAAGGCTTGTTGAGCAGCAGGTAAATATTGTTGTAATAATAATATCTTAAATATAAGACTAGAAACCGATCTAGAGTTATAAACTCGAGCATTTTTCTATAATTGTTCTATAGGCCAGAACTAGAGCCTCTCATAACAGAGCGCGAACTCTTTTGGAGACTCGCTCACTTTTCTCGTTTTGAGGAAACTTTACAAAGAAATATAAATCATACGCTCTTAGACGATCTGACAAAAGGAATTAAACCGGACTTGTTATCGTTAAAGAAAAATCTAGTATCATTACTGGAGGATGCTTCTCGACCAGGAGCTTATCAACAAAGTTACTCGTACATCATGAAGTGAGTTTCAAGCAGAGTTATTCTTTTTAAATTTATATATAATTTTCTTATATTGTATTTTTGTATCTTTTTTTTCAGATTGCATATATTGAATGAATTTGATAAAGCAGCTTTGTTGATGTTAAACAATATAGACGGCTTTTCGTTATTGTTAGAAGAATGGGACAAACGGGGACAGTTATTGAGGACATCTCGTGGAGTAGAATTTGTTCTTAGTATGCGCCGAGCTGCTTTGGATTTGGCTGTACAATTGCAACAAAATACTCGTAATACAGAAAATTCAATGCTTAGGCAAGAAATTGGTAAAATTTGGTTGAAGAGTGCCAAAATCGCTAGAAAGTACGTGAGATCTCTTTCTCTGTCTCTTCCTCTCTCTTTCTATTATATATTTGTTAGAGTCTATACTCTGTATAGATTTTGATTAACGTATTACACATCTGATTTCCTTTATGTTAAGTAAACTGTTTCTTATAGGGCTGGCTTGCATCAACAAGCATACATGCATATTTTATCAGCCAGTGATTCGTGCCCACCGCAATCGTTATATATAGAACAGGCACAGTTATATTGGCAGAAAGGTTCTCAAGAAGACGCTTTTACCACTTTAAATCGCTGTTTCTCTAATTATTTTCAACCAGCGCAGTATTACAAACAATTGCCTCCCGGTGAATGTAATGAGGAAAGAAAACAATATGCGAAGGTCTGTAACGCTAAAATCTAACGTTGAAGATTTTTAATCACCAAAAAATTTATATTTGTAGGTGTTTTATGCTTTTATTTCAGGCAAAACTTCTCTTTGCAAAGTACAACGATGAAACTATTAACGTCGATACAGACGGTTGCATCGCTAACTATAAAGAAGCAATAGAAGTGTGGAGAGGATGGGAAAAAACTTGGGTGGCGTGCGCTGATTATTACGATACCATCATTGAGAGACTGTCCGAAGACGACAAAGATAGAAATAAACAGTAAATTTCATTTGATACAATTTAATTTCATATTTCATGCAAATGTGTAAAAAATTTATGTATGTTTATATACGCACAAGTAAAAACACTGTATGTAATATTTATCACATTACCAGAGATCTACAAGTGCATATAATGAATTTTTATGGCAAATCGCTTCTATTTGGCTGCAAGTACATTCATCATTCGATGCCCAAGATGTTGACCGTCTGGTTGGACGTTGCTTCTCGCGCGACAAATACATCCGATCCTCCAGATGTGGTCAGACTTCGCCAGGACCGTCTGTCAAAGATGACTCAGATTATGGGTATCTGTCTGTGAGTTAATTGTGAAAAAAAAAATCGATTCTTGTAAGACTAATGGATTTTCTTTATGCGTTGCAGATGTTTATTATCACAAATTGCCGGTTTTCATGTGGTTAACAGCGTTCAGCCAACTTGTATCGAGAATATGTCATCCGTCTCAGCAAGTGCAGACCACTCTTCGCACAATTCTAGTAAAATTGATATCAGTATATCCTCAGCATAGCTTATGGATGATGGCGTCGGTTTTTAATGTACGTATTATAAAATAGTATATATTTTTCTCTGCAGTTTTTTTTTTTTTTTTTTCTACATATGAGAAATGTTTTCTATTTTCAATTTAGTCTTCGGATCCGACGCGGCTGCAACGATGTCAAGAAATCTTAAACCACGCGCAATTAAAAACACCGGATATGTCCAAACTTATCAAAGATTTTCACAGATTATGGGAAAAATTGATCGAACTATCGAATAAAGTAATATCGGAAGTAAGTTTATTGTTCAATTATATTTTATACAACGTACACGCACAACTAATTTTATATAAAAAAAATAATATTACTATATTGTTTTCTTTCTTATTTTTTTGTAGCAAGGAGTAATAAATACGTCAATAAATAATTTGTGTAAATATTTACCAAGATTACTCGCAAGTAAAGACTTCAGTCAAATCATGATGCCGACAAAAGGATTTAGGCAACTACATCTCCCGTCCAAGAACGCTTCGGTCGAAAATCACAATCCATTTTTAACGTATATATATTGCAAAATTCTTACTACATTATCTCTTTTAGCAGCATAGAATATGTGTGTTATGTTTAATAGGAAATGGGTGCATATAACAAAAATAGAAGACGACGTCTTGGTACTGTCGTCACTTCAACGGCCACGAAGAATCGCATTCAGAGGTTCAGACGGCAAAGAGTATCTTTTCATGTGCAAGCCGAAGGATGATTTGCGTAAAGATTTCCGACTGATGGAATTTAACGATATTGTAAATAAATATCTTCAAAATGATCCAGAATCACGACAAAGAAGACTTTACATACGAACATATGTAAGAACGTATAAAGCACTCATATTTGAAGTTTTTTACTCATATTTGAGTAAATTATTGACAATCTCCCATCTCGATTCGCAGAGTGTGGCGCCACTGAACGAAGAATGCGGCTTGATAGAATGGGTGCCGAATTTGGTCGGTTTTCGACCCACCATTTTAAATCTATACAAAGAGAGAGGTATTTTGCCATTGCCTAGGGAACTTAAAACTATGATATGTCGTAAGTTGATAATAGAATGCTTATAAATGTGTGTGTACATTTAACATGTAAACTTTTCAAACAAAAATGTTAATCTTATCTCTAAAATTTTTTATCAGTGCAAAAGGATCCGTTAGAAAAGAAAAGAAAAATATTTGTAGAAAAATTATTGCCACGACATCCTCCAATATTCGGTGATTGGTTTCGCATTATGTTTCCTGATCCATATGGGTGGTATGTATCAATAGCACGCACATACGTACATATTACGCGTTACACTTCCAACAATGTTCTTCTAGGTATGAGGCTCGCACAGCATACATTAGAACAACCGCTGTTATGTCCATGGTCGGATATATACTTGGACTTGGCGATCGTCACGGAGAAAATATATTATTCGATTCCAAATGTGGTGATTGCGTACACGTTGATTTCAATTGCTTGTTCAATAGGGTAAACAAGTACAACTCGCACTAATTACCATAATTAGTAATTATGATGTACATCACGTAATTAAATATATTTTACATTTTTAGGGTGAACTTTTCGATTGGCCCGAACGAGTACCGTTTCGACTGACACATAACATGATAGACGCCATGGGTCCCTTAAAAATCGAAGGTCCTTTCAGACGTGCCTGTCAAATTACTATGCGAGTACTTCGGCAGGAATCGAGCACATTGCTGAGCGTACTCAGACCTTTCGTCTACGATCCGCTTGTCAGTTGGAATAAAGAAGAGATCAAGAATCAAAACAGGAATCAAAGAGGGGTTGATGCTGCCGAAAAAACAAATGAAAAAGTATAACAATCATAATTAATTAGATAATATTTTTTTTTACACAACATACGCGCGCACAGTTGTTATTTAGCGGTTGACGACCGCGCGGACTTCTGTTACAATTTCAATTTACTGAAAAGAAATCTTATATAAATAATCTATCTATTTATTTTATTTCAGGCCGTAGAACACATAAAGAACATCGAGCAACGATTGAAAGGCTTGATTCGATATCCCGGAAGGAAGGCAGAAAATATCGCGTTACATCTTAGCGTTGAAGGACAAACTAATTACTTGATTTTAGAAGCAACGAACATAGATAACTTGTGTCAAATGTATTATGGTTGGGGCGCATTTTTGTAATTAATATATATCATCAGAACAAGTTGTCGTACCTTTATTAAGGATTAGATAGTAGTATATACTTGGGAGAGATTGTGATATGTATATAAAAATAATGTGCTATTGTGCCAAAAAATGGCAATGTATAATTTTTAGTTTTATTATATTTTGTATTTTCTTTTTTTTTTTTAAATAAGATTACTTGCTTGATCATCTTCGATTTTACTTATAGTTGTTATTTTTTTTTATATGAGCGACTCTAAAGTAATAAGGTAGCAACACTCTAAATTAAATATAAATTAACATATGTAAATTAACATAAGAATGTTTCTTTTTTTTTGTATAAAGTATTTATCACGTTTCATTAAACACACAAATTATCACTGAAAAACAAACACGCATAAGTTTTAATTGTGAATAGTAGCCGATCTTTGCACTTCACCGGAATGTCTGGCGTGATTCATCATTGATTCCACACGATTTGCCGTCTCCCGCACAACGTCCGATATTTCATCCGGCAGATGATCCAAGGTTGGTATATGAGCCGACAATCTTTTGTAAACAGAATCTCTATTGCCGTCCTTCTTGAGCCGTCTTTGCTCCTCGTACTTGAGCTGCTGCTTGAAGAATATGGCATTCTTGATGAACTCTAATGTATTCTCAAAACTCTTTTCAGCTCCCTGCATCGTTTTGATAGCGCTGACCGCGTATTCCACGTCGTAGCATCTGCCCAATAATTGTTGCTGCAACGCCAGCACCTCTACGCGTTTCTCAACCATCGGTGGCAACGCTTTTCTCACGTGTTCCTGTAGTCTATAAAAGGCGAGCGACGGCTCGTTCGCAACGATATGCATATTTTCCGATATGCGTTCCGTCGCTGCAACACAATATTTATCATGTTGACTATACATATGTGTGTGTTTAGTTAATAGTTTAGTTTACAATGTAATGTAGAGATGTCTGATGTAAAATATCACTGACCTTTTTTAACTTTTGTTTCCAGCTCCTGATCAGGTTGATATATCTTTGCGGCCATCATTTTAAAATTTAGAATAGCACTAGAATACAGTAAAAAGTGTACGAAAAAGTCTAGGCGGGCTGAAGGCACGATAAACTCGGAATAAAACTCTTTCTAGTCCATCCGTTCAAGTTCGGCACGTGCGCAACATCGTTTGACTTCAGATCTTACGGAAACAAGTGTTTTCGACATGACAAAATTACATGTCACATTTATAAATAAATTAACAATGTTTGTTAAGTAACGTCAAATAAAGTGAAAACACGTACGATTGTGGAGTCGATCAACTGTCATCATCAGCTGATCGTCGACGATTGTAACGCCATCTAGACGCTCGCAGAAAGCGCACCGGAAATACTGATGTGTAATATCATGTTTATCATCCGTGTCGAAAACGTGGCAGCGGCCTGTTGGCGCTGTTGGCACTTCTAACGTCAGAGACGTGAGTTTCTCAGTGATACGCGCGCGTGTGTGCGTGTGTCGGCTTTCGGCTGCTTTGCCGTATGGAGCGTGATTATTTGGAGCAAAACATCATCTGTGTTCGGTAAAATATTCGAGGATAGTGTCGTCGTTCTTTACACAAATGTGAGTTCAGTAGGTTTTTGATGTGTGATTCTTTACATTTATTCATGAAAGCGCGTAATTCCAACATAACCGAAGAAACGATTAACCCCAAATTACATTTTACCTGTTTGCGATTATATTTTACACGTTGGTTTCTTAAAATGCAACAATTGCTATTGTTATTTATTAATATCTGAGGGAGGACGAAATTGTTTTCTTTTCTGAGCTTAATTGTAAAAATTTTATGTAAACTAATGTGTACATTTATGTAGAAAAACAATATTATTTGTTGAGGATACAAGTCTTGAGATAAATGTTTAGGTATGTTAGTCTGCGTCGAAATTCACGCAAGGTTTGGTAGAAAAAAACTGAAGTAAATAATGTAATTTGTTTTTTCTTTAATCTCACAGAAAATGAAGTGGTGTATTTTAATTGCTGCACTTGCAGCATTATGTGTGACTGCATATGCCGAAGAAGAGGAAGAAGCTGCTAGATTATTAGTATCGAAACAAATATTAAACAAATATTTAGTAGAAAATATGGATATAGTTATTAAGGTAATCACAGAAACGATCTCTTTCATATTTAAGTTTTATTATCTATCAAAGTCTCTCTCTCTCTCTCTTTTACATCAAAAAAGAATATTTTCTTTCAATGATGCAATTTTACAGTATACTATTTACAATACTGGCAACGTAGCTGCTCTGGAAGTTGAGATCACAGATAACTCATTCCATCCGGACCACTTTACACATGTAAGCGGTGAATTGAATGCCCGGATCGATCGTGTACCACCTTATACCAACGTGAGCCACACAGTGGTTGTAAGACCACGCAAGTACGGATATTTCAACTTTACCTCTGCTGAAGTTCTGTATCGCCGAAAGGAAGATGCTCCCAGACTACAAGTAGCCGTAAGCAGCGAGCCTGGCGAAGGACTAATTGTTTCATACAGGGAGTATGACAAACAGTTTTCGTCTCATGTGGTAAGTCTACAAACAAAAACAATGCAAAAAGTATATTAGTGATTTAGAAAAAAAAAAGAAATTAACTCATCTGTGAGTTAATGTGAATATGTGAGAAATATAATATTATATATTTAATAATATCATATATCACTATTATAAGTGAGAAAAAAATAAATGTGGCATTACAAGACTGATGTAATTGCATTGTTCCACAGGTCGATTGGGCCGCGTTTGCCGTGATGACTCTACCTTCTTTACTCCTTCCATTTGCGCTGTGGTATTCGAGTAAACGCAAATACGAGAAACTTTTGAAAACCACGAAAAAGCATTAACTTGCTTTTTCTCTAAATGTTAAAATTTTTTTCAAGAATTGTTAGCTTCACTTTATACATTTCCTATGTCATTGAGAAACAAATGTTCAACTACGTACATTTACTTTTGTAATAAATATTATTTATGACAATTACATGATTGTTTATTTCACTGCCTTTGTCAGATTCTGCCGCTGCCCTCCTCCGTGACCAGAGCTTTCGCTCTCTACTCAATTTGAGAGGATTTACTCCCCCTCTTATGGCGAAAGAGAAGGCTATACCTCTCTCTCTCTCTCGCCACCATATTAGACCACGTGTAATGAGGAACGTGGGTACATCCGCTCACGCTCCCCGAGTGGCTCAGCGAGGCCCTCCCAGGCCTAAATACATTTATACAACATATATATGTAATTTTTTATCACAGTTTTATTAAGTAATATAAAAAAATCCTCGTTAACATATATACATATGTTTTATTTAGAATGCCTACTTAAAACTGTCAAAAATCTTAGAAAGAAAGAGAGGGAGAGAAGATTAACGAAATAAACTACAATTTAAAAAAAGTTACAAGAACTTCTTACTACTTTTTGGTTTATGTGTTGGCACAGAGTGAAAGAGAAAGATCTGTATTTTCTTTGTTTTTTCAATTTCATTACACAAATTTATTTCTCTCTCCTCTCTTCTCTCTAAAATCTAGATCAGATTCTCTAATTTTTTCGGTACAAAAAAGTGAATTATTTCTAACAATTCTAGATTTTACGGAGAGAAAATTAACACTCTGCATATCATACACGTTCTTACATGAATAATAAACGTAAGTCTTGACTGCCACATAGTTTGTATAAATAAACAAAAATATAAAACTTTATGATTAATAACTATGTACAACATTATGAAAATACATACTGTTATGTACATACGTAACAGACAAGTCTGTACAGCCATGTCAACAGAAAATTTGTACAATTTATATTTCGTATACACGCATATAATTATCAAAAATCATATAACGTAGAACGACATATGTACAATGTAGACGTTACGTAATAATTCATGAAATAATCACAGAGATTCGAATTTCTTTCTGTTAAAACAAACCTTTTTGTGTGATTTTTAAACGTAAAAAGTACAAATGTAAGCAAGAGAGGGTTTTAAGGCACAACTTTGCAAAGATTTATGTATTTATCGTGAATAAAATTAAATTTCTCACGATAATAATTGTGTTATTTAAATTTTGCGTAAATCGAATTTGTATATGTATATATTATCGGGAAAAAAAAACTCACGAGAAGTTGCGTACTTCATATTTAAAGAAAACAACTAAAAACTTTTTAATATCCGAGTAAATGTTACTCCTTCTCAAATGTTTGTAAATTATTAGTCTCTGTCATTATTTTTCCGAGATCACTCACTTTTCTTTATATTCTATTCTATTTTCTCAAATTCTCTTCTTCTAAGATAAGGCGTGCCGAAACTTCGCGGGTCACCGTAAACCGATGTTTCAAAGGCGGAAAACGGTTTCAATGGTGAAAGTGAGGTCCGAAGTGGACTGGAGCTAGGGGTCGTGGTACTTGTTGTTGTACAAGGCCCGATTGACTTCCTCAACATCGGCGGAGATTTGTCGACTGTAACAAGGTACGTCATTGTTACGACAATTTTGTGTTTATGTAATTCGCATTGACAAAAAACCGGCACCTACCAAAAACGCTTTTGTTTCTGATTGTTAAATCACCTTTCGCCACGCAATGTTTCCATCCTAGCAAACGCAGAAAAAATATTAAAAATTTCTTTTTTTTTTTTTCTATCAAGAATAACACAGGAAACGTCTTACCGTAAAATATTGCAATTGCAATGGAGAGAAGCATTCCGAATGTATATCTCCGAAAGTACATGTAGTTGACCACTTCTTCCACTCCAGACACGGGAGTAAGATGAGAACTGTATCTTGACGACACACGTATGTGAAGCTAAAAGGAAATACAGGTATGACATAATGACATTTACTAAACACACATGAGCGAGCTTGAGTACAAGCGCGAACTTACAGATATATTTTGCTTGGTCAAGTCATTCACAACAAACAATTTTTGTCCCAGAACCTCATTCTGATCATTCATTAAGCGCAGTTTATATTGCATCGAGGATTTCGAAACGTATTGTTGCGAACTAACGACTACTCCGCTTGGTACATCAATCTGATAAAAGAAAGAGAGAATGTATGTGTGTACGTGTAATATACGCAGTAATATTTTATAAAAAAAAAAAAAAAAAAAAAATTGAATCAATGTGGCTTACGGTAAGATGCTCCAACACCAATGGCAGTCCGTGTACAACAAAAGTTGACGACAACGATGATCCACCGTAACTTTGGCCGGGGGCAAATACGATCTCCTTGACGCCAACGTACACAGGTGGCAAGTAAGCAAGTTCCAACGTTGCCGATTCAATATCTCGGCTCTGAGCACTGATTTGAATGCGACTTTCCAACACACTAGTGTCCATAGTTGGAAAACTTATCGGTATGATGTCGCAGTAATAAAAACCAGTCACGATATCGAATCGCGGCTTTACGAGAAACAGATCTTTTATGTTGACGGACGAAATTGACGAGACAAACTGAATGTTACACGTATAGGGAAACGTGTTCAGTACGAATGACGATAACGTACGACAACCACCTAGACCTCTTGCCAGCACGTTGTTTTCCTTGATCTCTTCGTTTTTGCTCTTGAGTACGAGTGGCACGCTAAAGATTTCCGTGCCAGTTATATTCTTTCCTCTCAGGGGAAGAACAAATACCTGTGTAAAATGTGAATCAAATTTTATATAATGACGATAGAGAAGTGCCAGAATTATGATTTTTTGAACATGAGCTGTACAAATCACTCTAAACATACGTGCTAAGTACTTACCCGTGAAATTGATAGAATATCAACTTGTATTTCGCTCAGCACGTGAGTTGCGAGACTGTGTTTTACGACGGCATGCCCGACGCTTCGCGCATTACCTATCCCCGTGATCGGATCTACCGATAATAATTCAGGTACGGAAGACTGCCAATATCCTGGATCTCCGTCGGATGAAAGTAACGGCATGGAGAAGCACACCACGTCGCCGACAGTTAGGGTTGTTTTCGTCGGGAACACGATATCACCGATCATCATGTGAACGTAATCGAACAATCCATATTTTTCACTGAAAATTTTCACAACCAGCTCGCCGTTCTCCAGAAACCTGGCGGTGACGGTGTTATCGGAGCTCGTGACGAACGACGTTAAATCGGCACGATTCACCATAGTTTTGACAGTAGCCTCAGAAGCGTGAAACTTATTTCCAACATTGTCGTAATAATTGACAGTGTAATCCAGTTCCATTCCTTTCGGTAACATATTCAACTCCTCGTTGTTTCGTATGCGTAGTTTGGACTTGAGAGAAAACATCATGTAGTGAATGGGCTTGACTAGAGCAACAACCGTCAACGACTGCTTCAAGTTGTACGGTTCCGTGCTCGTGACGGAGATGACAGTCTGACCGAAATTCTCGCCTGATCTCACAACTCCGTTCTTATCAACGGTCACAGGGGCAGGCAGTGAAGGATCCTTGTTGTGTGTGCTCGACGACAGAACAGTTTTGTAAGTTGTCGTGCCGTGTTTATCTCGATTTGTTTGCAACTGCAACAGAGAATTCGGCGACATCAGTATCGTCGACGATGCGTTCTCCGACAGTGTTGGATTGATCAGCCGCAGCTCCTCGAAGATCTCGATCTTTACGAACGTGGTGTACGTGATGTCGTTCTTGCCGAAACCAGACACCATGTTGCAGGGCACAGTGACATTGAGATAGATCGTCGCCACGCCCGGTTTTATAGCTCTTGCTCTGAGCGATACCTGATTCTGGTATCTAATATTGATGCCGGTGCCCTCGTACATGTTGTGCAACGTCAACAGACCGGGATCGCTCGACGACCACGAGAAACTCAGCGGCAGCTGCATGGAACCAATGATGAGGGGCGTCAGATGATCGGGAACACCGAATGCCCAGAGCGGGAACACGGCGCCCGTCTTCACTCTGCTCACCGGAGTCGAGATCTTCACCCCTCCGAGATGCAGCACGTGCACGTCGGCGCAATCCTCCGAATAGATCACCCTGCTGTTCTTGGCGTCGAGACCGACCGCGCGCACGCAGACCTTCGTACCGCCCACTGATTTTCCTTCGAGGATCCCGTTGCGATCGACGCGCAACACGTCGTCGATCTCCGACGAGAACTCGATCACAGTATTCGGCGGACCGCCGACGCTTTGTATCTGATAAATCGTCCCGATTAATATCGTCAGATTTCTCGGTTGTATTCGTAAAGGGAGAAACACTTGCACGGCGACGGTCTCGCTCCGTATCTCACGATCGCCCTTCTTCACGAAGGTCAGATGACTCTCTCCCTCGGACATGCCGTTAATCTTGTACAGTATTCGTTCGTAGGGCGCGGCACCCTGCTCGCTCGCGGGCAACTGCACGACCTCGATGTGCTCGTTGTCAACCTCCGTGCGAAAGTCCAGTGTGCCGAGAGACGGCAGCTCGATAATGTGATTGTTCGTGTCGTACAGTCTCAGAGCAGCTCTCACGCATTTTCCCTTCTCGATCTTGTTCACGGTATCCACTTCGATCGCAGCCAGCTGTTGGACCTCCACGGGCACCACCACCGATTTCGACGGCAGGCAAAGATCCTCCAACGTGATATGAAGCACGCCCGGCTGCTTCGGCGTCACGCTGATCGCTCTTCTCTCATGAACATACCCAACGTCCGCTATAACGTCCGAACTGAGAGTCAACTCGTAATAACCGGACCCCTGACTCACCTGCAGAAACAATTTCATCCTCGAATCGTTCAGAATCATCAATTTGTCGGGACTGACGAGAGTATCGTTCACCAGAGCAATGTGTATGGACGCTTCTATCAACGGAGTCTCTATTCCACCTCTTTCGTTCTCGATGGGAAACGGTGGCCACTCCGGCGTGATTCTCAGTTTGTTGAGAATGTGCTTCTGATAACCGGTTACCGTCGCGAACACCGCGAGTGTGCCGTACTGTTTCCTGAAAATAATATTCTGATAGTGATTCCTCGGCAGGATCACATTCTCATCCGTCCAGGTGTCCTCTATCATGCCAGAGGGGATTTCCACGCCACCGCTGTCCGACGGCTTCAAATTCCATTCGATGTTCAAACTCGTGATATTGTCGAACCGTCTGCCGCCCTCGTCTTTGACGGACACGGATATCTTCAAACGCTTGCCGCTGTGCGCAATTATCTTCTCCGCGTTCTGACTGATCGGACATTTTTGACTGTCCTTGAACTCCGCCCACAGATAGATGTATCTGGGTTTACCGCAGACGACGTTGATCGTTTCCGACACGCGAGTGTGCCGACAGTTCGGAAACAGAGGCACGTTCGACACCGTGTAGGTAAGCGCTGTTTCGCCCAACGCCTTGCAGATCACACGGAAGACGGTCTTGTCGAACTGTTGCTCGCTCAGCGAGTCCTCGTAATGCTCAACCTCGGCAATCTGCTCGTTCGACAGATGTATCTGTCGCGAGTAATCCTGGGACTTGTTCGCCCACGGCAACGGTCCGCCTTTGAAGACTACGTTTCTCGAGGATCCCACAGCTAGTAACGTCTCCTTGGTTTTCGGATGTATCGCCACGAGCGGCTCGTACACCGACACGGTGATATTATCCGTTAAATATCCATCGGGCATGCTAATCGCGTGATAACTCACGGTCACGTCGGACGTCCCGACGCCGCGATTATTAGTGATCGTTATCACGGTACAAGCCACACCGACCGGTTGCACGTTTCCATCGTGACTCCGCACAAAGTTCTCGTTCGACACGTGGATCTTGATATCGACGTTCTTGCAGTCACTGAACGGAATCTCCCTCACGTCGGATCCGTTGATCAGTTTTCCGAACAAAGCGACGTGCAAGTGAATCGGTTCTCCCACAGCCGCCTCTATGCTGTACTCGATGATCTTCAGCTTCGAGGGTGGCAACACGTATATCTTCGCCGTGTCTCGGTTGTACTGATTTCTCGTCATCGCGACGCTCACTTCAGTTGTGCCAGCTGACAAAATTCTGATAGCGCCGTTCTGAGAGACAGACACTATCGACGATTGTCTGCTCGACCACACGTACGACCCATCTCCGCCGTTCGCTTTTAACGTCACATCGAATCTGGACTCGTTTACGACGTCCCAAGGAACAGCCAGAACGCGAGGCTCGATTTGCACCCGTGTGTGTATCGTGAGCTCGGATTTGGTGTAAAGTTTCTGTTCGAACACGGTTTTTCTGCCGTGTTTGTCGATTATACCGTGCAACGTTGCTTCCACGAGCGTGATTCCGCATGTGATCGGCACCACGACGGCGTAAGTGCCGTTGTGCGTGATCGACTTTACGTCAAAGTATTGCTTGTTTATCATCATCGAGACTTCCACGCCTTCCCCGATGTGAAATTTATGATCTTTGTTGTCGTACAATTCGACAACGATCTCATGAGTGTGATCCAATATCAATCCCTGATTCCTGTTAGGCAAAACAGAAATAGAGATGTAAGACACTTGATGCACGTTGACTATAGCGGAAGGCAGAATAACCGGATATTCGTCGCGAACGTTTTTGTCGTGCAGAAACACTTTCGTACGACCCGTTTTGGATCCGTACGCGAAGTAGTGATCGTTATCGATCGCCAATATGTCGAAGTTCTCGGCCTCTAGATAGTATTGAGTGGAAGGCAGACTGATCTCTTCCAATCGTCCCTGACGAGTGTGCATTATCTTATACTTGAAGCTGTCGTGAGCCATTATTGTTATTTCCGGCGGGATAATGATCAAATTGGCGATGACAATTAACTCGACCTGTATCGACGGAACGTGGCTGTACTCCGGATGCGGCAGTCTGACCGACACCTTGGCCGTTCCAGTTCTAACGCCTTCTATCAAAACAATGTGACCTCTTTTTCCAACGCTGTCCAACGTAGCTACACCAACTGGCCTTTCGTACTGCGACTCCTCGTAGGTCATGAAGCGCAACACATTCGACGGCACGTGTTTGTCAGCATCGTCGATGGTCCACAAAAATTCTATACCCGCCAGAGTGGTGAATTCATTTCCTTGTTCGTCGTTAGCCCGTACCTCGAACGCTTCGGGTATATCTTCAATGTACAGTTCTCTCGTGGTGGTGATGAGGTTCAAAGAAAAAATCACATCGACTATAACGTCGCATCGCAGAAAGTGATTGGTTCTAATGTCCTCCGCCAATACAATCGCGGTGTTCCTGGTCAATTCTCTCGTTATGGTCTGAAGCAACACCGCCGACGAACACGTTCGATCGAAGTTCTCATTTATGGGAATCAGTTGTACGATATCCAACCGTGAGGACGACCTGCAAAACAATGCTAAAGTAGTTTTTCTTTTTTTTTCCTGTAACTAGACTGTTATTATATCGATGAGAAAGAGAGAGAGGTTATGATACACTTTATTCATCGATCTGATTTATCGCGACGAAAGATTCGCATTGCGCGACGCTTTATGGGATCTTGCTTACTTGCGAATTGACGAAAACGCGCGACAAGCAACGTTTTATGTCATAAAATAGACGCAATTACCATTTGTAGCAGCCGCCGTCCGTAACCTCTAGCGTGAAATTCACCGCGAAGTTGTTGAACACGGGTAACAAAACTCGGGGAACGTTCAATCTGTGCGTGGAGGCTCTCCCGTTTGCGCAAACACCTGCGATCAGGCCCAAAATCACGAGTTTTCGAAATAACATCAATTTCAACATGTTGTCCAGTTGCTCGGTCACTTTCAACCGTGACTTTAAAACGCAAAAAGACCGCCTCGCGCGAAGGCGCGATTGATATTTAAACGTAGATTCCACTTGGCGCTCGCAACAACAATCGCGAGCGCCAACTCGGAACGTACCTCAAACAGATCATGGATCTATCTAGATTGCGGAACGCAGCGTTTTGTGCGCTTGCGGTGGCGCATATCGCAGTCAGTTTTTCATCAGCAGGCGCGGCGCGATAGGTCGTGCGGTGGATACTCGTGCACACACCAACCCCGTGCTCGGTGCGCCCAGGTGTGCGTGTGTGTGTGTATGTGCGTGTCGGTGGTCGTGCGTGCCTGAGCCCCCGTGTGCTTAGGCACCACCGAGAAAGAAGGGCTTCTTCTTGGTCCGTCCCGTTTCCAAAGGGGCTCCCGCCCGCCGTCGCGATGGCGTCCGCTAAAAGAAAGCAGGACGAGAGGAATCTGAAGACGCTGCGCGAGTTGGTCTCGCAACCGGGCAACAAGGAGTGCTTCGACTGCAACCAGCGCGGGCCGACCTACGTCAACATGACAATCGGTTCCTTCGTCTGCACCTCGTGCTCCGGTATGCTGTAAGTAGCCCCATCGTCTCACGTCGATTCTCTTCTCCACGCGGGGTCATCATCGTCTCTCTCTCTCTCTCTCTCGAGGACACTTTTTCTGGAGAGATTCTACGTCGCGCGCAATTTCCTTCACCTTCGTTCTTGATCTCCTTATCTCTCTGAGATCTTTCGTTTTCCCTAAAACTGCGCGCATCATCGTCGCCGTGGCTCCTGGCGAAACGTCAACTTGACGTCACTCTCCCGAATGTGACACGAGAAGCGCAAGAAGAATTATCATCGCGAGAATTATCTCGAGTGTCCGGCCGCGAGAGCTGAGATTCTCTCTCACCGTTAGCCATAGAATAATGGCCAATTTTTTTTTTCCGCGAGAACAAAGAGACGTCGGGACGCGCGACAGGTCGGATCGACGTCGGGGGAAGCAAGTCGGTCGAATTTGACGCGGCATTGTTCCGCGTTCTTAATCCTGGCCGCGGTTACATAAACGCTATAAATAGAGAAAGAAACGTCGCAAAGACGGAGAGAGCTTGGTGCGCCTCGACGACTTGCGTTGTCAGTCTCTTTAGCGAGGTCTCTATATAGGACGTCGCCTTTGTAAATCGCAACGAGATCGCCTCCGGGCGACACACGTGCGGACTTCTTTACAGCGACATTTGCGACGCGACGCAGAGACAAGAGTCGAGAAAAAAGACAGACACAGAGAAAGAGAGAGAGTGAGTGTATGTGTGCGTGCGTGTGTGTGTGCATATATATATATATATGAGTGGCGAATGTGGGAGCGAATATGAGAAGAAGAAAGGAGATGCAGAGAGTGCTCTCGCTCAGCGGTTTCCAGTGAGTCATCGGGCTAAACGTCCGCACATTCACAGTCAGGAAGTCAAACGCTATCAATGACAACGTCAACGCATTCTTTGTGCGCAGTACCAGTTCTTATCAATGGTCAAAATGCCATAACGTCGTCGCCGTCGAGATTTGCGACAGAAATGGGAGCACGTTTCTTCCTTCTCTCTCTTTCTCTCTGTCGATTTTTCTCTCCTTTATACATATATATATATATATTCTCTCGTCCTTTTTTACTGTATATGATCCTTCGTCGAAAATTGCGATCGCTTGCGCATGATACGAATGCGACTATCGACTCGCGGCTTCTTAATCAGCCGCATCTCCCCGCGCGGTCAGCACGTACGCTCGCAGATTTTTAAATCTTGTTATCGCAACAGCTATGTATTGCACTATAGAGACCGTATTAAAGACACGCGAGCTTCTCTGTTTTACTTGTCACGAAATGTTTCCAATTAGCGCGCACCGGAGAGCTAGGGACGGTTTGAGAATAAATAAACATCGAAGGAGAGAGAAGAATTAAATTGCATTACTTAGAGCGCCGATATAATTTTGTTTTATATTGTAATATCAAAGAGAACAATTCTGCTGATTAATTTTTCTTCTTTTTGTTTTTTTCTTTTAGACGAGGTTTGACCCCGCCGCATAGAGTAAAATCCATTTCCATGGCGACGTTTACTCAGGAGGAGATAGACTTTATAAAGGAACGCGGGAACGAGTACTGCAGGCGAATATGGCTGGGTCTGATGAACTCCAATTCCCCGCAGAATTTCGACACCAAGGACGAGCAGAAGATGAAGGACCTGATGAGCGCGAAGTACGAGCTGAAGCGATACTATCTGGATCCCTCGATCGCGAATCAGAACACGGTGACGCAACAGAAGTCGTCGCAGTTGTCCACGAGCAACATTCCGAGAGTCCCGAACTCGGGAACGTCCACGACGCTGTCCGCGCCATTCGCGCAGAAATCGAGCAACGCGGAGCCGACGAACGCAAACAATTTCCCGACGGATTTCGTCGCCGACTTCAGTAAAGTTCCTGACCCGTTTAGTCCAGTGACGACGCCGGCCAATCAGTTCGGTCACCAGCTGATCGCACCCCAACCGTTCTTCGCAAACTTCGACAACAACCCGGTTTTCAATAACTCGAATAGTGAGTAGTCCGCGTCAATCAAACGCGCATATCATATTTCTGCGATATTAAAATTCAATTAGCTAAGTGAATGTTAATGCCCTTGTTTTTGTAACGAAACTGTTTTATCATTGAGGTATCGAAACGTCCGCAATGTTTAATCAGGTCGGTGGGAATTCCACGATGAGCATGAACGGAGCGCACGCGCCACCCTCGGAAGACCGTTACGCGGCACTTAAAGACTTAGACTCGTTGATGAAGCAAACGCAATTGAAGGAAGAGACAACGGGAGGAACCTTATCCGCGTGGAATGCAAATAATTCGAATGGTGAATACAAATCACACAAAATTGTCCGGTCTTCTTGTTAACGAACAAATCGATCAATTATGTTAATTGTCGCGTTATTTTTAAACCAGTGAAAAAGTGTGCGTCAGAATGTGTATGAGAAATTCTTTTTTTTTTTCCAATTTCAGCACCGAACGCTATGTGGAGCATAGGCGTAAATAATCAAACGCACGTCATTTCGAATCCGTTCACGAGTGGAGATCTGTGGCGTCCGTCTGCGAACGTAGTCAACAACAACAATAATACTCAATCGATCGATAATTCTTTGTGCAATTCCGCAAATCCGTTCAAAACGACTCAATTTTCTGTAAATAACGGTAAGTGATCGCGAACCGAGAATTCGTTATTTAAAAAAAAACGCGTTCTCAGAATTGTTTTAAAAATGTGAAAGTTACGTACTTATCGCCAACGGTAATGTTTTAATCTCAATATCGAAACAAACATTCGCAGATTCACAGTGGATTGGTATCGGCGCACCTAGTAACGGAGATGTACTCCAATTGAGTCAATTCATGACACCATTAGCGAACAAAGTGTGGCAACCGACAGTCCCGGCCTATCACGCGAATCCATTCATGGTAAAAGCTTTCGATTCCTGTTTTCGATATTTCGCGAGAAACTCTCGCGAGAGATTTGATCGCGCGTTCGCGATCGTGTTGATTCTCTCAATTTTCGGTTTCTTTCTTTTTCAGGTGAATACGGGAATAAGCAACATGACAAGAAATTCGAACAATCCTTTCTTATGATTTATGTACGTATAAATAAGCTTTTAACACACACAGAGTCACGAACAAACAATGCGAAACTAAACAAAAAAAAAAGACAAAAAACAAAAAAAAGAAATGTTTAGACTAGACAAATTGTTACATACGTGATCTTCTTGGCAATTAGTGCCATTAACTTTTATTCCCAGGAGCACCAATCTCATATCTCTATATAAGTAATATTTTTATTTATGAATATAATAATATACACGGGTTAAATAAAGATTAATATTTGTTACTAATTGCGTAGATTGTATTACTTGTAACAATATTTCTCCAAGATTGTCTTCTCTGTACAAAATTTTAGCTAAAATCAAAACGATGTATTTCTCTTTTTGAGCTTTCTTCTTTCACTCGTATAAAATGTGTATATGTGTGTATATATATAGTATATTATATATATATATATATATATAGGTATATGCACACAACGCTGTACACATGTGTGTCTAGAGAGAAAAGATAATTAATTATCTGCGAAATATCAGGTTTTTTGTAGGGAAAAATGTAGAAACAGAAAGAAAAAAAGAAAAAAAAAGATAATGGCCTACTTTCGCACGCTAAAAATAGCACTAGTAACTGTTCTCTGAAACATTCACATTTGTAGTACACATTTGAAAGTGATGAGAGGAAATAAACTGAAAAGAGAGAAGTGTACCATTCTGTTTTTTTTTTTTTTTATGCACACTTAAATACAGAGTTTTATTTTACTTAAAAACTTCTAATAAATACAAAATCACAAATGAACACTTAGTCTTTGTTATAATTCAATACCAATAGCTCTAGAGATCCACTTAATCATTCGTAATTGCATGTGAATAATTAATTATTACTTGATCATCATTACACTTGCAGTCTATATTATATGCAGTTGTAATATATTATTACTCGTAAATATAACATGGTCGGTTTTTGCGTTTTACACAATTACAATATGAATATAAAGATAAGCCTTGTGTGTGTGTATCTGTGTGTTATTTATTAAATAGCTGCCGTATTAAATGATTTTCTTTGTTCGTTTATTCGAGTAGTCTTGGAAGCTCCGAGGGAGTGTTATAGTAGAGTGTGTTACCGATTCCTCACTTATAGAGTAATAATAATAATATAAATTATACGTTTCTGTGTAAATGGAAAAAACAAATCGAGAAACACTAATACTTTATGAGTAGACCAATTATATCAATTGTTATGTATAAACGTACGTACGAGATGAGTGATATTATTGATATTACTAGGCAGGCGTCGCGTATCTTAGCGATACATCTGAAAGCGCATGGACTGTCTTCTTCTTCTTCTTCTTCTTTTTTTTCTTCATGGCACGAATTCGTCTAGCAACCGTTGCTACTGGCATTGCCTTTTGGTAGAGGCCGCACCAAGTATAGCTTCTCGCCCTGCTTATTGGTATAAATTGGAGCCCTCTGATAATGATCTACGAGCTGATCTAGCGTGTGGAACTTCCTCTGACCGATGCAGTAGAGCGCTCCTTCCACGTGTACCCTAAAGTGCTTATTACGTCCTGGCGCTTTCAACGATACCGAATAATCGCCCATCTGGAAAAAAAATTGATAATAATCGAATGAAAACACACACATACACACAAATATCGCGCCGATGACAAACTGTCATTACGCATTTCCCTTCGCCACAACGCCTATTAAGTGACACGTATCAAGTACTCACGTTGGTTTCACTATCCCTGATTAGAAAATCTCCGTCATGGCCATGTTGATTGAGCAGCGTGTCGCATTGCGAGCGCGTAATACTACCGTAATACCAAGGTTTGCCGACGAGATGCGGCCGATCGCCGGGGTCCGGCCTCCGTTCGAGGGAATCACCCTGGCTGATTTCGCTACTCGTCATGCCGCGCTCGCGGTACGGTTGCGTCAAGTACTCGCTGAGCTCCTGGAGATAATTCCGCGGCACAAGTCCAACCTGTCCCTGGCTGTTTCTCGCCTTGTACCACTCGGGATCCGCTGGAGGACGGTCGAGTATCTCAAGACGGTCGCCTTTTTCGAACGACAACTCCTGATCGTTGTTGGACGAAAACGAGTAGAGGGCCACCACGATGTCGAGCACGTTCTCGGCCATCGCGTACGTGTGCAGCGTGTCGTCGGCGTCGCCCTCTTCCTGAGTATAGTTCGACGGAAACCAACCGGCTTGAGTGCCGCTCTGACCTCTCCACCAGCCGTCATTGCTCTTCTCGAGTATAAGAATCCTAGTGCCTTTCACGAGTGATAACTCATCAGGCTGCTGCGCTTGATAATTATACTTGACGACCGCGGTGCCGATGGCCTCGCTCGGATCGGCTGGCAGACGTCGCGCCATGATCGGGGACTCGACTGCGCGGGACGGCGAGTTACTGGATGGCAGGGTCTTGGAGCCGGAGCCTTTCTTCACCTTCTTCTTAATACTGTCGAACAAGGAGGGCTTCTCCTTCTTAACATAATTGCTGGGCACATATCCCGCCTGTCCTCTAGCGCTCTGCACTCTCCACCAATGCTTTGAGTCATCCAGGAGCAGATAGCGGTCATTTTTACGTAAATCTAGCTCCTGAGCGCCCTGTGCCCCGTAATCATACTTGGCGACAACGTAACATACGTCGTCTTGACTCGTCTTGCCTGAAATATATCACGAGTGTTATTATTGCACGTACACACACACACACACACACATATACACATAATGCTTTAACAGACATTTTTATGTCAAATTAACAATTTTTTCATTAACATTTTTTGAATATGCTATCAGTCTTTAACTTTTGTGATTTTTAAAGTTTATGAATAGTAATAATGATTTATATATACAATACATATGTATGTATATATGTAAACCATTACTACACTGATACATAATTACATCATAACAAGATCATCAGGTTCTCTCTAGATTTGTCCAGATCGAATAAAATCAAAGTTCTACTCTTATCACACACTCACACACACATATATATATAATACATTAGATTTGTTTCTCAAGAGAGAGAACAAAGATATATATTTTTTTAAAATTTACACAGATATATTTTTGTACGCAATCAACAACAATATTGAAAATCAATTCTTCACACTGCAATCCAATTTTTGTGTAGAACAAAAATGAAATAAAATCACACAAGAATTACAATATTCTCAGAGAAAATAAATACGTGATGGAAAAGATTTACTAGAAATTTCGATTGATATATATATATATATATATACATATATATATATGATATGTATATAGACCTGATGAACTTATCGCCTATATATATATTTGAATCGAAAGAAGTTTTAACATACAAAGCAAAAGCATACGAAAAAATAAAAAACGTACCATGCTTCATGGCTGCCATGTGCGAAAAAATAAATACATATATATATGTATGTGTATATACGATAATATATATGTATTTAGATTTGTATGTACAGCTGAGTGTGGCGTGAGTAGCTGCTACTCACGTACTACTTCAATAAATCTTAAGTCTGCTTGTACAGAGTCGGCGGGCGCAAGTGCAGCAGGCATTCATTATTTAGGTTTTGCTTTTTTATTTTTCACTTTTTTTTCAGTGCTGATGCACCTGCTGATCTCTTTGGTCAGAATCCATTGCTCTCAAGGGTAGCGCAAGCAAGTGCATTACCAACACTTTGGGAAAAATAAAATAAACAGTCATTAGCATAAGTTCATTTTTGAGAGAAGAAGTGTAGAACTTCATTTTGTTGTTGTTGTTGTTTTTATTATCATAGTACTTAAAGAACTAATACATCCATCTCTTGGACGGAGTGGTTCACGTATATAATTGTATAACAGCTTAGAATAAATACAACAAAGCATGATTTTACAGCTGCATTGTGTCAAGTTGTATTGTGTGGATTATCATGAGATGTTCAATAACTCACCCTGTGTGCACGTGTGTCTGTGTGTATACGAGTGTGTGCTGTACAAGTAATCTATTCAGTTTTGTATCATATGTTTGCTCCTGTTTACAATCCTTAATCAACGGTACGAGCAATTGCAAACGTTAGCAAGTTAAAAATGACGGAATAATTATTGTTACTTCACAACAATATAAACGCAGACATATGTAGCTGTAAATCAATAAAACTCGATTACAAACTCGGACAGTGATTTGTTAACTACTTGAACAACTCGTCGCTACCACCAATAATTTCAACGAATTAACATAATCGGCTTAATAATAAATTTATATATTTGTAAAAATGTAAACGCATGCAAAATGGACAAGAAAAAAAATCTGCAGCTATGTACAATCACAATTGTCTAGAAGCTGGAATCGATAGTATCGTGCATACGCACGATGAGGATATTGTTATATATGTTTCTGCGCGACAAATTAACGTTAACAAAAGGAAAGAGTAGCAAGTAACGTCAAAAGGAAAACACACTTGTGCGCAACACAAAATAATTTCATTAAAACGAGGTACGGCCGTGTTTCTCTCGAGATCGCTCCTCGACTCCGCGTCGGAGGAGTCGAGGAAGAGGCAATCTCTCCGTGTGTACTTGTTACTCTCACACGCAAGTTGAGAGCCGGCTGCACCCAAATTGACAGTGCTAATCAACGTCGTCTAAGCTTAGAGTTTATCTCATCTACATAAATCGAAAGCGAGATATGATACAAGGAAGAAGCAGCACGGCGGGGAGAGGAAGTTTAAAAAAAAAAAGAAAAAAAAAAACTCATGACAATGACGATGATGCGGAGTGTTAACGTGTTAGTTGCGTGTATAAACTACAATTGATCCGGATTGGTCGTTTTACGTGATCACGTCGTGCAAAACGCCGGCGGAAGAGCGGAGACACGTCGCCGTTAGGCGAAATTAATTAGTCAAGGGGAAGAGAGCGCGCGCTTTAATTGAGCAATCGCGGCTCTAAATAATCCTAAAGACTCGTCTTTTTTTTCTCTCTCTCTCTTTCTCTTCCATTTGTTCTTTTTCTCTCTAGTACTTTACAGTAGAAGAGAAAGAGAAACATACGACATGACACAACCTATTCGCTATGGATCGTGCGGGGAAGGAGGGAGCGAAGTGAATGTGTGAAAGAAGCGAATAGACGGAATGTGCGCGTGTGCGTGTGTGTGTTGTGTGTGTGTTAACAAGCACCTAGTCGCCGGCTCCGAACTTACCGATTTTTAAACTTGACATATTCCTGCATAAAGCTTTTGGGATCTAATGTCGTTACACGGCTTGTTTTCCCCCACCCCAAGCCGCAGCCATGAACGACCGGAGCGTACCTACGTACCGGGGGGAGCGTATCGCCGTCAGTCTCACTCTATCTCTCTCCCTTTCTCCCTAATTCTCTTTTCTTCTTTCTTCCTCTTACTTATCTCCCTCTCTCTCTCTCTCTCTCTCTCTTTCTCTCTGTCACTCCCTATCAGAAGCGGGGAAAATTTAGGAAAGGAGCGTGCGGAGATCGCCGCGTTCTCTATCCGCTTTCGATTGCCTCTTGTCGGCCTCGTCGGGGATAGCTTATCGAAGGGCGAGCCGCCCTTTCTTCACGCCACTCGCGACACTACGACTTGTGATAATGGTCACGCCGCTATAATATGTATGCGCCGCTAATTTGGCCACAAACGCTAGCTCGCGGCCGTCGCGTTTATGCGACCCCTCCCGGACAGACCCACCCTTAGGCCGAAATGCGCCGAGAATATTGAGAATATTGAGTGGAACGAATTAGCCCCTCGTTCTCTACTCTTCTACGAGCGCGCCATCTTGCGTCCTTCGACGTGCACGATAGATGTCATTGGTGTTCCCGTAGATCGTGTTCACTTTCGGTCACAAAATTTCCAGAATCGACCAACGCGATTGGCCGATTCTGGAGAGTTTCGCGATCCGCGACTGCCATATCCGATCCGAAGATCGAACCAATCAGGAAGACAGAGAGCTGGGAATCTTCCTTGACCAGTCGCGTCTAGGTATATTTTCCACGCATTGTGATCCTCGAGAAGAACGAAACAAAGTTGTCGGCACTGGACGGAATCAGTGATGTTACGAATTTGAATTTCGGAAAACGGTAACGTATCGCCTGATGTTTTTTACCTGTTGCCGTCGGCTTCTCGTTTGACAGTTGTTTTTGCGTTCCTTTCGCCAGAAATGGTGAACGCAGCTGACATTTCGACCGACGGTGGAAAAAGCGAGGCTGCTGGTAATTTATATCTTATTTTATCGAGTTTTTGTGATCGACGTTGTATCATATCACGTTACGCGCACTCTTGTTTGTATACCGTACGAATAAGTTGCAAACTTTGTGAACATTTGTTATACGGATAGGAAATAGCTTCGCGAAGAAGAGGCGTCACGACGAACTCGTTCGTTTCAAAGATATACAAGTTTCTTTCAGAAAAAAACAAAATACGAATTTTTTAACAAAATTGATCTGTGAATAATAATAACAGCGCTCGCACACGTATTGTAATATTGTGCACGTTGCGAGAATTAAATAAAAATAGAATTTTTATCTTGACAAGTTTTTCTCTCTCTCTGAATATTGATATTGTGGAGAAAGAGAGTGTGTGTGTGTGTGTACGTACGATGATATTCTTGTTGAGAAAATAAATTTCTAAAGTTGATCTTTTTCTAAGTAAACGCACTTATAGAAGATGGGTGGAAATCGGCGGAAGAAATGGATGAACAACGCAAGAAAACATTGGCTTACGAGTACCTCTGTCATTTGGAGGAAGCTAAGAAGTAAGAGATATGAGAACTTTATTCTGGATGGGAAGAAATTGAAATTAACAAAAAATATTCTTCCACAGATGGCTGGAAGCATGCTTGAGAGAATCATTGCCCCCAACTATAGAGTTGGAGGAGAATCTTCGCAACGGAGTTTATCTGGCTAAGCTTGGCAATTTTATGGCTCCTGATGTCTTACCTCTGAATAAGGTCTACGACATGGAACAGCGCAGATACAAGGCAGTAGGATTACAATTTCGCCATACAGACAATATAAATTACTTTTTAGAATGTTTGAAGTCCACAAAATTACCTTTGGTGAGTGCTTTATAGAAAATAATTTTTGTATTTGTGTAGTTAAGTCGCTAAATGATAATAAGCATAAAAATTCGTTATGACTTATCTGTTGGTTGGCCTTTGCAGACATTCTTGCCAGAAACAACAGACATTTACGACAAAAAAAATATGCCACGATTGATATATTGCATTCACGCGCTCAGCACGCATCTGTTCAAATTCGGAAAAGCACCACCAATGCAAGATCTATACGGAAAAGTCAAATTCTCCGATGAAGAAATCAACGCCGTCAGTAAAGAACTGCAGAAGTACAACATCCAACTGCCCGCCTTCCAAAAGATAGGAGGTCTGTTGACGAACAGTATTGCTACCGACACAGCTGCCCTTCACGCCGCTGTGATTGCAATCAATCAAGCTGTGACAGATAATGACGACCAAAAGATTTTACACGCACTTCAGAACAAACATGCTCAACTGAACAGTATTAAACCCGCTTTTATTAAGAAGTACGCCAAGACGCTGTTGGAAGCGAAAGCTGCGAAAGAAGAAGCTGCATTTAACAAGTCGCTAAATGATAGTTACGTTGCGGATGTGTACGACGAGCTGTTAACACAAGCGGAGATACAAGGGCACATAAATTACGTGAATTCTTTGTGCGCGCTCGAAGTCATAGTCTCGTCCGTAAAGAACAACAACGTCGAGTTAACATCTGCTTTACGAGCGTTGGCATTGTCTTTCAAGAATGTGATTTCTGAGAACATTGAGGATTATAAGAAACAGCTGATATGGGTATTGGACAACTTCGAATGGGAGGACGTGTGTCCGTACGAGAATATTCAATATTGGATAGATACGTTTCAGAACGCGATCGACAAAGGAAATCAGATCGCTAAAGAACGTCGCAAACGAGAGAACGCTGTAAGATACTTGAACATGGCTCTGGAATCCGCTGATCAAACGAAGTTCCGCGAGATCTTGGAAAGTCCGGAATTAGAAGTTTCTCATTTGGTCGATAAATTCGCAATCCCGTTGTACTACCAAGAGATGAAGACAGATCGCACGGAATCAATGATCAACATCACCTATGACGACATAGTAGTCAGTGTGCACGTATTATCCACTATTGCCGCTATCACCAAGGCGGTGGACACGAATAATCCAGATTTCGTGTACGAGAAATTGTCGAATCCCAATGCGCGTTTGACCGGACTGGACGAATTCAATAAAGTGAAGTACACTCGGGCTCTGTCGAAAATTCGGCAAACAAAGCTAGAAACATCCGAGGAATGTTCTTTGCTGACTTACAGCGATATTCAAGAATGCATCGATTTGGTGAATGCGCAATGTCAAGAGGGTTTCGAAGTTATAGAGATTTTGCAACAAATAAATCGAGCTGTGGCGGCCGACAATCTTGAGAGTATGATAACAGCCTTGAAATTGATAAGCGAGAAATTCGATATACCGACATATCCGCAGGACGCGTCGCTTTACTTAGAATTATTTAAGAAACGATTAATCGAGAAAAAATCTGACGAAGCCGAGCTGTGGCTGGATGACGTTGAGAGCATAGCGAGAACAGTCAAGTCGGAAGTGGAGCAAATCGAGAAGATAAGCAAGTTTCTGCGCGAAATCAACACGCACGTGGTGAACGACGACATGACAGAGGCTCTCGATTGTCTCAAAACGATCGGTGTATTCGGAAATTTTAACAAATTGCCGGAAGAATTTCAAAAGAAATGGTTCCTGGCATTGCAACAATTGCAGAAACAGAAATGTAAACTGTTCGATTATCCGTACATCTTGTACACGACCGACGAGGGAAACAGGATCTCCATCGATTTGAAGAACAGCCGATATACGCGAGATCACTTGAAAAATTTGGAAAACACTTACTATCTCACCACGGACGACATAAACGAAACGATTAAATCTCTTACGGCGGAGAAGCGCGAGAGAGATTACACGACGTTCGACGAAAAGTTGCTGATTAGACTTCAAGCTCGTGTCAGAGGATTTTTGTTGCGCAACAGAATCGCCAACAGACGCGCTTATTTTCGCAAAAATCTGAAGAAAATCGTCGCGATACAAGCATGGTGGAGAGGCGTCAGACAACGTAGACGATATTTGAAAGAGAAAGAAAGACTGTGTGTACTGGCACGTCAGAATAATAAATTGTCGAATGTAAAAACGAGCGACAAGAATGACAAATTAAGCTATTACAAGAATCACGAGGAGAAGATAATAAAGATACAAGCTTTGTGGCGTGGAAGAGAATCGAGAAAAGCCTTCCAGTCGCTACTGTACTCGAAGAAACCGTCTTTTCCTATTGTCAGATATTTTTCGACGGTATTGGGTTTCAGCGCGGAGGATTACGACAAGGATCTGGAGTTGCAAAAATTGAAGTACGAAGTCGTCCAATGCATAAGGCACAATCAAAATCTGTCCGAGCAATTGAACAACATGTTCATAAAAATAGGACTGTTAATTCAAAACAGAATAGCGTTGCAAGATGTAGTGGCGCACAGCAAAAACTTGGACAATCTCGCCAACGAGAAGAACAAGGAGCGAAACACTTTGAGCATGACCGGAACAGCACAGAAAGGTCTCAAGTCGTTGACGAGGGAGGGTCGTAAAATGTTGGAGGGCTATCAGCATTTGTTTTACGCGTTGCAGACAAATCCGCAGTACTTGTCCAAGCTGTTATACTTGCCGCCTACCAATAAGACGAACAAATTGTTCCTGAAAAACATCATCCTGACGCTGTTCAATTTCGGATCGAACACGCGAGAAGACTATTTGTTGCTGAAGCTCTTCGGTTGCGCTCTGAGGGAAGAAATCAACTGCAACTGTCGTCAGCCCTCCGACGTATTGACGGGCAAACCGTTAGTACGTGAGATGGTGGTCAATTACGCAAAGCAGTACAACGGTCAGGCGGCTTTGAAGCAGATCATAGGTCCGTTGATCGAAAAGGTTCTGGAGAACGAAGATCTGTGCATGGAGACGAATCCGGTGGACATATACAAACTCTGGCGGAATCAGATGGAATCGGAGTCCGGACGATCGGTGGACATGCCCCAGACGGTGTCTCAGGAACAAGCGTTGAGATACGCACCGGTGCAAGAATCGCTCAAGAGAGCGATAACTCATCTGAAGAGACTCTCTCTCGAGTTTCTGGACAGAATAACGCAGTCGCGCGATCTGATTCCTTACGGAATGCTGTACGTCTCGAAAGTTCTGTACAATTCAATGATAGAAAAATTTCCACACGCTCCAGAGAAGGATATCTTGAAGGCTGTCGGCAACTTGATCTATTATCACTTTATTAACGCCGCGATCGTAGCGCCCGACACCTTCGACATTGTCACATTGCCGGTCGACAGATCGTTGTCTTCCTGCCAGAGAAAAAATCTGGCTAGTATAGCGAAGGTGCTGCAATTCTCCACTTCGAAAAAAGGCTTCGGCGAGGAGGCACCGCATTTGGAGTGCCTGAATCAGTTCATAATATCTTGTCACGAGAAGTTCAAGGATTTCTTTCGGTACTGTTGTCAAGTCGAAGATCTCGAGGAACACTTCGACATTCACGAGTACACGGAAGCCACCCTCATACAAAATCCCGAGGTATGCATATCTTTGCAGGAAATATGCGAGATGCATGTTCTGATGCAGACGTATCAGGATCAAATAGCGCCGGATCCGTCCGATCCTTTGCATGACCTTCTCGATGATCTGGGTCCAGCGCCGACAGTGGCGTCGCTACTTGGAGTATCTGACGCGACGTATCAAGCAAACTTGGCGCGATACAGCAAGCAGGAAGTGTGTTTGGTACTAAGCAGCAAATTCCAAGTACCACGAAACGAGGACGCGAATCTGAACAATCTTTTCGTCAAGGCGAAAGAGTTGCTTGTCTCAGTAATACCGTTCCTAAAGAAACCCACACTGGAGGAATCACTGGAGACCACCTCTTCGCCGATGTGCGTCAAGCTGTTCGACTACTCGTCCGTGTCGCCAACCGTTCGCGAGAGCTCGTCTATAAACGACTGCAAAATGCAATTACGGGCATATCTCAACAAACTTGAACTCGAGGGATGGGTCAGCCGTGCGGATGGTTATCAAACGATCGTGACCGCGATAGCGAGGGACATTTGCAACAAGAACAAATATCGCGTCGCGAGAGACAAGGAGTTGCAGACTCTACGCGCTACTAAGGAACGACTGAGCGAGAAGACCAGATATTACCAGGAGCAAGTCGAGTTCTACAACGAGTACATAAATCGTTGCCTTCACAATCTGCACTCGGGAAAGGGCTCGCTCCGCGCGATGCAGACGATGCAGAAGGACGCGTACAAGCTGTGCAAACTGCGATCGAAAATGACGGTAAAATATTCCGCCTGGAAGTTGCAGGAGAAGGGCGTTCTAATGGAGATCGATCAAACGCTGAGCCCGACGGAAATGAAGAATGTCATCTTTGAGATAAGCCCGACCGAGCACAGCGGTGTTTTTTCGGTGCGCTGTAAGTTCATGGGTGTCGAGATGGAGAAACTCGACATCAGCATACAAGAGCTGCTCGAGCTGCAGTACGAGGGCAGATCCTGCATGGATATGTTCGGCAGAGCGAAAGTCAACGTGAATCTGCTCTTGTATCTATTAAATCGAAAGTTTTACGGTAAAAAGAACTGAACATGCAAAACCGACAAGATTCTTCCCCCTCATCTGTTTTTCTGTTACAAATTGAGTAATCGATTTACGCGTGTTATATGTGCAATTTATTTTCTCGACGCAACGTGTGTTCAGAACTAACCAGCTCCTCTCGGCTGCTACTTTATCACTGCGACACTTAACGATTTTTTTTTTGTGTATCTCGAGAGTAATTTTTGTTTTTTTAACTTGCCAGTAGATTTTTGGTGTTTGTTTTAAGACGCGCAAAACTTATATAATTCCCAGGGAAAGAGCGCGGTTCGCGATAATAGGTCAATATATCTATTTAACAGCAATTTGTCTAGTCTAAGATATATGGCATGTGTTTTGTAAATAATTTCTATTCCCGGTGAAACATTTTTACGAGTATTCGATGACGTTGCAACTATCGCTTGACACTGTGTATATAAACGATGTACGAATAATTAACGAATTTATGTAAACTTAGTGAACGTGTTTATTAAGATATTGAAGCGTGAACTTAATACACAAAAATATATAATGTTACTTTATAAATATATATAATATTACTTTTAAATATATATAATATTATTACTTAACGAATACTCTTTGAATGACATTTGTAACATAGAATTTTAACAATCTATAAGAAAATGAGATTATTTTAATAAATACCTTTTTTTAAATTCGATTGTCTGTTTTCTGTCTTTCCTGCAGATATTTTGACATCACAAATTTGTTAATATCAAATGTTCGCAACAATTATTATGTACCGATTAATATGTAATCTCAGGTAAGTGTGTAGAGTGATCTTGAAACAGGTAAAAAGATGTTCTTGAATCGACAGAAAGGATGTGAACGAATAGGTATTTTTTGAAATTTAAGGCAAAATTAGTTTCCTACGCAAAACTTTTAATAACATTTTTATTACTTTTGTGGAATTTTGTTATTCTCATTTTACAGTAAAAGCTCAAAGATCTTTGTATGCAAAATTTCATTTATTTTCTATGATTAATGTGAGAGATGTAATTATTTTCGGCCGCTACGGGCTAACTTTCAAATGTGTTACCAGAATCACAGAAAGTGACAAGAGCTCTACCAAGAGAGAGGTGAACCGACTCAGTCGATGACGTCGCCGTATTAGAAAAGTATAAGTTGAAGAAAGTGACACACTAAATATCTGCTTCCATCGGTGAATTCCGGCAGACAAATTTCACTTTCGTACCAGGTTCACAGAAAGTGACAAGAGCTCTGCTACTAAAAGAAGCAGGAAAGGGTCAATCTACGTCAAATCACCCAGGGGTCTGAACCTTGACGTCTCCGATTTCACTAATTTTTGGTATTTAGGTTGTACCTGTAAAATATAATAAAATTCCAAAATTTTAGATTTTTNGAGCAAGTAGTTTTTTCAGAATCAATTATTAAAAATAGTAAGAAGCGCACAATTTTCGGCGATCACGAATTTTAATAATACGTATAGTTCTGCAACAGTTGGTGCTAGAGAGCTTTATTTTAACTTATGTTAAAGCTCTTTTCATGGGCTTTA